GCTTGCAAGGTGCTATACAGTGGGGGAGTGGGGAAAATGGCGAAAAAACGAAGCGAAACGGTCAAAAACTGCGAAGAAAAGCGTTCATTCTCATAATAGTAATCTCGGACGAGTTTCCCGTAGGCATCGTGCCAAGAACCGCTACGGTAGATACCTACGTATTCATGCAGCACCGCGGCCGCTTCACATCAATCGCTTCGCTTCATATTTTACTTCGCAAATAAAGCAATACGAGCACCAGGTACGGTTGTCCATTTGTACGGGCGCGGTGGCGTTCGGGTCGGTATGTTGCAGCTTGATAGGGCTTATAAGGGTACCTTCCTTGGAAAAGGCGCTACGCAGCGCCTGCTCAGGGGCGCAGAATTCCGTCCTGCCAGGCGTATTAATCCTACTCGTCTTAACGATTTATCGTGCCAACTGCCTTTAACGGGTGATGCTACAATATTTCGAGTCGCCAGCTAGGAGATACTCCGCTAGTCTTGCGCGATACCGTATTTCGGACGTAAAGAACTACTCTCCAAGTGAAGAACCAGGAACAGTCCACGAACTAAAGCAAGCTTCGCGTCTGTTCGGTCGGAAATTTCATACTCAATGAACTTTCAGCTATCCCTCACGAACTGTCTCTCTGTCTCTACGATCTCTCATGAAAATCCGTCACAGTACCATCCCTTCTACGATGCAAACATTACCAACAGAAAAAAGTTCTCCTTCTTTGTTGTAGAGTACAATTATCCTTAGAGTCCATATCTTACCTGGTGTGTTAGCGAGTCTGAGTTGGATTTCTTTCCAATCATGTGGCTTATTCTTCTCGAATGCCCAATCAATGATGTAGTTGTTGTTATCTGTTATCACGGGTCCACACTTATTCGCTGCCATCCTCATTTGCGCAGTGCCACCTTCTGTTCGCGGCAGAGAGCGCAGCACACATGAAGCAGCAAACGGTAGAACCTTAACAGAAATCAATCTATGACTTAAACTGAAATGATGCTTAACAGGAAAATATGACCATTGCGAAATTTAGCTCTATGAAACAGCGAAGCTTGCGGACATAGTCTTGTCGCTGCGATGATGGTCTTGTCAGCGCAGCAGCGTTTGGCGCGGCGCTAACCCATTATTTTTTTTTCAGCAAGCGTCAACACCTATCGCATCGTTCGTCAGTCGTTTTCCACCCTTTTGGCACTTAGGTAGCAGCTTTATGAAATGGGTGTTAGCGGAACGTCATATCAGCCGCGGCGACCACGCCTCATCATCCGCGGCGAACCAGACTGTAGATATCTCTCAAAGAGATAATATCAACTTGTCCCAAAAGCTTGTGACGTTTTCGAATTATTCTTTACGAGTCAAATTTATTACAGTGAGAAGGCAACTTCGATCAACAATATATGTTTTCTCCAACTTTTCTCCAAACTTGAACTTGTTGTCAAACACCAAGCAAAGAGCGGTTGCCTTGCTTCCAGAAGCTTTTTAGTTCCGTGTCCAGAAAGGCAGCTGGGTCATTTTGAAATGCCTTTGAAAATCGTATTTTTTTTACCCAGAAGTGGCCGCTGAGGGATAGGTTTAGATGGCAGTCAGAAATAGCCAAGTCAGGGCTACCCGAAAACTGGCTGGAATTCACCAGCTAAGCTTCAAGATCTCGAGCAGTGTCATTTTCCAAATGTGTGACCCTGAGCTGTGGTGGAGTAGGCAAACATTGCTGGGTTGTGGGACCAAATGATGGGGATTTTCATCCTCCCTTTGCAGTTAATTACAGGAGGACTCGCTGGTTACCACAGCGTTGAAAGGAAGAAATTCCCTGCGGTAAACCTCATGAATGGGTCACCACACGCACAGTATCACCTTATACTGTACTGAGGGGTTGCACGACCGATCTGCCAGTCCTGAAGGATCTAGACACTGGCGCTTGCGGGAGTGGTCCCAGAGATCTACACCTTATCTAGTCACAGTCGTTGTTCAACCAGTCTGCACGGCGCAAGCGGGAGAGAAGTTGTAGGCTGTACCCACATGCCTTTCCCCTTGAGTATCGGTCAACTCCTTTCTTAATAGAAGTGAGACCCCTGTCTTTTGTGCTTTTGAGGCAGTCAAGTGTAAGGACTAGATAGCGAGTTGATTCGTACCAAATGGTTTCAATCAAGGGACGCAGTAAGTGAAATCCAAGCAGATGGCCTCTCTGGACGAGGTTTGTCTAACAAGTAGAAGTCACTAAAGCGGAAGCCACTGGGTCATTTCATCGCCGTACTGTGGAAAGGCAGCATCAAAACCTAACAATCACAGCATACACCAACCAGGTTGTGACTTGGTGGAAATTCATCTAACGAAGCGTGACGAAAGTGACCAATTTCATCTACTGTTCTGGATATGAGAAC